AGAACCCTGAAACAACCACTGGGCTGATCAAAGTCAGGGCACGGCTAACTCACAGATAGAACCCTGAAACAACCTCTGGGCTGATCTAAGTCAGGGCACGGCTAATTTTAACATTTTATGCCAAGTCCAGAAACCTGAGACTCCAAAAGTGCAAAGCGAGTGCGCTATTACGTACGACCCCAGGCTGTAAAGATGCGATTGAATTAGCGCATCAGGGGTATTCTTTGACAAAATCGTATTTTGTTTTAGCAGATGAACCTCCCCCTACCCCGAAACGGAATCAATCAGCACCCAAGGTTCAACCAAGACCAGCACCTCGCAAAAGCAAATAAGAAACAACCCTTAAAAGGCTGGCATAAATGACTTTTATACTTATGGAATTGTTGGATGACTATTCTCATTGACTTTGGCAGCCATCTTGAAAAACTGACTTCTTTGCCAAGCTAAGGCCTGAGCTKGATATCCCAAGTGAACATAAGCTAATGTATTTGGTTCTTCTCAGAACTCCTTACTTCCATAAAAACTGAAGAAAGTCTGGGTAAATAAGTAGTTAACGATTATAGAGCAGTTTTCGTATSACTGTGTAAATCTCAGTGCCATAAGCGTGACGTGCCGTGACCGTGACCGTGATGCTTTCTAGAATTTTAATTGGCTGATTTTTTTTCACGCGCAATGTGATTGGTCTGGCATTGCCTTGATGCCTCCTCCTGGTATTTGATTGGATGGAGAGTAAATTAATTCTAGTGCAATGTGATTGGTCTGGCGTATCCCTTGCCGTGTCACGATGGTAAACTTTTCTTCGTGCAGTGACTGAGAACTTTTCACAGTCATACGAAAACTGCTTTAAATTAATAGTGGGCACTTAAAAATAAGTCTCTCTTGTTATTGGTAATTAACTTAACCCATAATGATGGGCTTATTTGTTTTCATCTTTAAAACCTTTGGTTCCCTAGCATCATAACAATGATAACGACTGAAATCGATCCTGAATAATTGGTAACCTGGCAATCTCGTACCAAGAGCCTGCGTTTCCTCTGGCGTTCGTCGAAGAACGAGGGCTCTGAGATAATCCATCTTTTGGCGCAACGCAATTTTCCGGAAGTAAAATATAATCAATGAAAAACATTCTTTAAAAAAAAGTCCTGTGTTTATTTCCCACCAAAATGAAAATTAGAAATCGAGAATTTTTTTAAAAAAATTTTGGCATGCACTGTATTCGCTCTTATACCGGAAGTCCAAGAAATCCTGGTCTCAAAAAATTAAATAGATTATGCCAGAGCAAAGGCCAGAGCCCTCGTTCTTCACCGCAGGCCAAAAGAAACGCAGGCTCTGGGTACGAAATTGGTAACCTGGCCGCTTTGCGCATGCGTAAAACATTTTCTCGTACAAGTTTTTCTTGATAGAAGAGTACTAGTTATGGGAATAACTGCGCATATTCAATACACCGTTAACTGGAAACGAGAATAAATTTCTTCGAGCATGCGCAGTAAGAAATAAACGCTCTGGATACGATTGGGAACGAGTGAGTGATGTGCAAGTCAAAGACTCCTAATTGTATACAAATATTTGCTGCTTTTCTCACGGTTTGGGCAAAGCGACAACTGGTTTGTCGCATTTTTATAATATTTTTATAATGTACGGATTTGTAGTTTGACTTTTTAAAAAAAGTATGTAAAATCTCACACACACACAAACAAAAAGGATTTGCTCATAGAATTTTAATGTAACGAGTGTGCTGTTTTTGTGGTCAGCGGTTTGTGACGGATATTTTTTAATGTAACCAAGCCTCCGATGAATTGAGAGGTTCAAAAAAAAAAAAAAACTTTTTAAGCTTTTGTTTAGCATAGGAAAGAATATATATATCATAATTTCGCTGATCAATAATAATGAATTAATAGTCATTAGTATTTAGGAGTGAAAAGAGATATGTCTCCCTGAATGATTTTGAAGATTATTTTTCGTCTATTTTTAATATATAGGGCCATTTTGATAACTCGGAAAGACTGAAAGACTCGAAAGACGTCATAGTCTAGTGATCTGATTGGTTAGACCGAACTATGACGCCATAGTGTCTCTGATTATGCTGCGAATTCATACGTCTATAGCGCAATTTAGGCAGGGCCGATTTGGTCAGTTTACTTGGGCTGGCAATGAGATTCAAAGTAAATTACTATCAATTATTGGAAAACTCTTGGGGAAAAACATGACTAGAGGTTTCAATACAACCCCCTCACTGAATATACACACACGCACAATGCTACCCATCCCCTATACACGCACAATGTTACCCCCACTCCCCCCCATCATTTCACTCTCACAGCATTCCAGTCATTACAATCCTTCTAAAGRAAACTAGATATTCAACGAAGAATTGTAGTTAAGAAATAGCGTATGACGTCATTATCCATCCTTACCTGGTTTTGTATTGTTTGATACTAATAAATATGTAATAAAACAAGATTTTAAGTCAATTTGCAAGAGTCCTTCTGTTTACTAAGCTTATCGTATGAGACAGGTTTTCGTATGAGTGGAAAGTTATAACGTGTATACACTTATTTCAATAAAGTTAGTCACCTGAAAAGCTATAAATCTGAGGCCGACAAGGATTATGGGTAGATTCATTTTACACGTTCAACCGCTTGATAACTGTTCATGGACTTGCGAATCATTTACCGGTTACAGTCTCACCTCTTCTGAGCATCATCGAGCTGCAGTTTGTATTAAAAAAGCTTTGTATATATATGCTTTTTTGATATGAAAAGTTTCCCATRATGCTCAGTGACCTCAGCTTTCTAGGTTTTTGGTAACTAACTTCATTGAAATAAGTGTATATAGATACGTTTACGGAAAGATACAGTACAGCTACGGCTTGGCGTATCGTTCATCTCCCACTCATAAGAAAACCGCTGTACTGAAATAACGACACGGTCACGGAACGAAGGGCATTTTCATGGAACCAATCACAGTGAGGAAGACAAATGTGTTTAATTTTTCCCCTGTAACTATATTTACATCTTAGATGAATTTTCATTTTCCTCGTTACGACACTAAAGCATGGAACCAATATATCGCTAAAATGTACTACACTAAAAAGCCAGTTCAAAGTTTAAGAATCGTTTCCAGTGCGCACGCGATTTTATCCCGAATTTCTCACCTTTTGTTTAAACCTTCTTTTGCTCTTAATTAAACAAAAGAAGGTGATAAATTCGGGATAAAATCGCATAGGCACTGGAAACGATTCTTAAACTATGAACTGGCTTATTTTAGAACCAGAGTAGATTCCAATATCCCGACTCCTTGCGTTCCAGATTACTCGTGTCTTTTTTAAGCGCCTAATTTCRAACCCATGGGATTCCGAATTCTTGATTTGAATGTATTTGGCCGCTAATTAATTAGGAATTCGATAATCAGTTAACAGAAATAGAATACRATTTCTGACACCTTGAACCGTACTTAAAGACTGAACAGAAATTACGCCCTTCATCACGCTAGTCCGGAGAAATATATTACTTATGATTATTTATTATTTATTAAAAGTACTTTATTTCTTTCCCATCATGCAGCACGAGGGAGGACAGGCAGGCGGGCAGGAGTACTGTGTTGCTGGGGGCTGACACATCTGTGGGCACGAGCTGTACGAGGGCTGCGCAGCCATCTGGGGGTAGGCAGGCGGTTGGGCTGGAGCAGCGGCCTGCATTGCTTGAGCAGGGTTAATCATCAGGGTAGCGCAGTAACCTGTTGGGCACTGGCTTTGATTCATGAGCTGAATCAAGCAAAAACAGTGTCAATAAACCCCTCTAACTTGGAAGCGTAATGTTTTTGCCATTTCAGACCACGTGTCAGTTCCCTAGAGTATCATTTCTTTGTTTAACGGTTGCACAAACAAAGAATCCAATTCTCAAGAGAATTGCATATGGTCTGAAATGGGGAAAAGCAGTAGTGTAGATTCTTAATATTCACTACATTATTTCATACTTTAGTCTAAATTTTCAAGAAACCTGCCAATGGGAAAAGAAAGACTGTGCTAGAATAGGCCCTTTGCAGTTAACGGTCACGTGTCTGTACTGGTGAGCAAAATTTTTGTTTTTATATTAAATTGGTGATTCTTTTTAGCTACTTGTAAAGAACTGAATGAAAACATGTGTATCCAGTGTGTTACGAAATGCAGTTTTATTACGATCTCTCGAAACCGGTTGTAGAAAGTTTGTTTGCAGTCCAGTAAATTTCACCCATGGGAATCAAGATGTTCATTCATTTGCTCTCAGTGAATTAATCAGCACGTGATTGCTTAGCTGCAAAAGGCCTATTGTGATTTTGTTCTCAGTACCTACCTTGACTCCCGGTGCTAGAGACTTGCAAGGTTTGCATCCAGTTTTACTAGCAGCTGCAGAGCTAGGCTTTCCTCCTGGATGAGAAAAACATTCGAAATTATATCGAAAAAAGTTCATGCTTCTACGTATCATGACTACAGGAACCTCATGAATATCATTATAGCTAGCGTGAGCTGCGATGATACTTTGCGGGGGAAAACGTATTAACATGTCAACCCCTAGAATGTGACGTCTCGATTTGGAGGACAAAACAAAAGAATTTCAATCTCCTGAGAATTGGAAACCTATTGTAATGTCCTCAAAATAGCCCGCTTCCGAGATACGCTTCGCTTGTCAAGTACAAAGGTTTCAGTTGGAGACTCAGTGCTAGATTCAACTTATTCTTTTCTCTTGTCGTGAAAGACTGAGCATTTAGTTCGGAGCCTCATACTGAAACCTTTGTACTTGACAAGCCAAGCGTATCTCTGAAGTGGGCTATTGAGCTGCATTCTGACGGGGTCCAAGGGCGGATCCAGGGTTTTTTTGAAGGGGGGTCTCAGGGGTAAATTTTGTGGGCAAAGGAATCCCAGTCGCATTTTTACCACAGGAAGCCCATTTGACCTCRGGAATGACAGGGGGGTCGCGACCCCCCCGACCCTCCCCCTGGATCCGCCCTTGGGGTCTATTGGATGCATTTAAGTTTATCGCAGTAATCAATTACCCTAGAACCTCGAGAAACGGTTTTAATTATTTCAACGAATGGAAATATTAATCTCAAAAAGAGTACAAGTTATGTGACAGTTGCTATGGTGACATACCTTTGACGTTGTACACTTTAACGGGAGTTTTTTGCACAGGAAGCCCATTGAAGTATYCACTCTTGATGGCGTTCTTAATGCGCTGTATTGCGTTTTTAACAGAGGGTACAAACCTGAGGAAGAAATCTACCACCAAGCTGCCGCTCCTAACAAACAATACATGAAGATAGAATCAACCTTTTTTAAATAAAATTAGCTCAGGAATCAAATTGTTTGTTTARAACAGAAACATAAATATATTCCAATATTTCCCTTCACCGAGTTCCCTGCACCATCTWGAAAGGTAGCCGTGCCTTTGCATCGAAACAAGACGAACGGTGAGATTGCAATGATAGAGACATGTAAATAATTGTCCAAGGTGTTAAAAAAAAGGTCTCTATCATTGCAAGCTCACVGTTCGTCTCGCTTCGATGCAAAGGCACGGCTACCTTTTAAGATGGCGCAGGGAACTGTGAAGGGGACTATTGCCCATTAGTATATATACACAYAGGTGATTATTGAAAATCTCGCGCGCGGATTGGTCGAGAAACTCACACTGTCACACGATAATCACCTCCAGCGATAATCCAATATATAAGCCCTCTTTACCTTGGGCATAATTGACTTACTTTAGGCTTTTGATTTGACATTGAAGCATTTCGCCTCTCTTGAAAACACCCCTCATCTGAAAGACGAATAAAGATACCATTAATAAATGCATAAATTTTATACAAGCTATGCAAAACTTTCATCGATTTTGCACACCCTCCCTTCCACCCTGCGGARGTATATTGCTACATACCGCGTTGCACATGCGTTGTTTGAGAGAAACTGCCGCACGGCTTGAACTTTGTGACAAAGCAGGATAAAAGCGATAGGTTGGAAAACGAAGGACCACGTTGAAGCTAAGAGTCTTTGACCCACCTGCTGTTAAATAAATTTGAATAGCTATTATAATATATGCATTGTTCAGTTGGATAGTTTAATAGGACAAAAGATATGTACCAATAATGATCCTAAGGGGAGGAGAGTTCCCTAGGGAGAGGGGGACAAATGAAGCATTGTTCAGTAGAGGGGAGGATAGTTTAATAGGACAAAAGATACTATTGATCAATAATGATCCTATAAGGGGAGGAGAGTTCCCTAGGGAGGGGTGGGACAAATGAAGCATTGCTCACTAGAAGGGAGGGGAGGGATAGATAGAAAAACCATCCAAGAGAACACGCGCTTTACATTGGGACATTGGGTAGGAAAGGGTCAAAAAGACTTTTGAAGGGAGGAAATTTCAAACAAAAACAGTCTCAGGGGAGGGGTACGTGGCTAAACGGAATAGGTTTAAATGCAACGGAGAACGAAAATATTCATAATATGCAACCGTGTGATGGATACCAAGCGATAGCACTACCAGCTTACGCTTGCAACTCACCGGCGCTTGAAGAACCRCCTTTTGAGGATCCTGTTGGAGTACCGGCGATAGTTGGTCGAGCTGATGAAGATCCTGGTCTTGAGCCGGCTCTACCACCTGAAAACAAGTAAGAAAAGCTTAGCTTGTCGCAGTTGGTTCAGGTCATAAATCTAGGTCCACTGTTRTAGACCTCTTGCAYGYGACGTCAAAGCAGCTACATCTGGGGGGACAAAACAAGAGATTTCCAATCTCCTGAGAATTGGAACCTATTGTTTTGTTCCCTAGATTGAGCTGCATTCCAAAGTACTGCAAAGGCCGGGTCTATTGGTCAGATTCAATCCCACATAGATAAGGCCTTCATTGTTGACTACTCTCAAGGGCTCAACGTTTCTTGGATCTCCATCACTAGCAAGACTATTTTGTTCTAAGATTCTATAGACACCTTGTAGCACGGAGGACATAACACTGGGTTTCTAATTCTCAGTAGAATGAAATTCTTTTGTCTTGTCCTTTAAATCTTTTGACGTCACAAGAAAAGGGTATATATATATATGGTCTTTATCCGTATCCGTAGATATTTCCAAAAAGGGAACAAATTTTTATATCTATATATTTTTTAATTTTTTCCTATTACCTGCTGCAGAAACAGGCCTTCTTCCTCCAGCTGCTGAAGAACCAGGCTTTTTCCTACCAACTGCTGAGGAGCCAGCTCTTCTACCACCAGCTGCTGAGGAGCCAGGCCTTCTACCACTTAACGATGAACCACTTCTACCTCCAGCAGATTTTGCTCCAGGGACTTTAGCCAAATGAGCTGCTGAACGCGAGGCGGCTGCAGATGCCATGTGTGCCGCCAACTTGGAATGTTTTCCCGCCAAAGCCGCTGCCTTTGCCGCCTGTTGAGCAGCTTGCAGGGCTTGAGCTGCGTATTTCCTGGCTTGTACTACTGCTTTGGCTGCTGCCAATGAATGTTCTGCCGCTGATATCGCTTTTGTGATAGGAGTGTCTAATTGGTTATCTGGTATGGACATTAAAATAACTAATATTAGGATAATATTAGGATAATCAACAAGAGAATTGAAATATTAGTGCTGATTAAAAATGTTCGAGACAGAAATGACCCGAGCATGAACAGMCTCAACAGCTTTTGCTGCTTGTGACTTTAAAAGCATGCACTATCTTCGACGCTTGCTCCATCTCTTCCCCAAAGCCTGTTAACAAAGAGAAACGCAGACACCGTGGACGACACTTGTTGTCCGTGACTTTCCGAGCATGCGCAATATATGACACTCGTTGTTCGTGACTTTCCGAGCATGCGCAATATATGATACTTGTTGTCCGTGACTTTCCGAGCATGCGCAATATATGACACTTGTTGTTCGTGACTTTCCGAGCATGCGCAATATATGATACTTGTTGTCCGTGACTTTCCGAGCATGCGCAATATATGACACTCGTTGTTCGTGACTTTCCGAGCATGCGCAGTCTTAAACACTTGCAGATCAACATACCTTTTCTATTCCAGTAATCCAGGTCTCTGTAAAGATCCTCTTCGCCATAGTCACTGAGGGATTCATGATCACCCCATGCATGTCTGCCGTAACCTGGACACAAAAACAATTCCATGGTATGCACATAGAGAAATAAGAGAAAAATATCATATGCCCTTGGCAGGATTTGAACCCACGTCTTCGGTATTCTAGTTCGATGTGTTAACCACTACACTACAAGGACCAACCACGCTGGTAACGCAGCCAGAATATGAAATGTAGGGTATTCGTGAGGATCCCAGAGCGATAGTTTTTCTCTATAGGTAAGTTGAACACCGTAAATGTACGCAGATAATAGACATAGTAAAGTAGAAATTATGCGTTCGGTGTGTATATATTATATACACACCGAACGCATAATTTCTACTTTGGTATGCACATATATATGTAAYCAAAATAATATTGTGAACACTATCTGATTGTTTGCAACACAAATGTGCACACAGATAAGAAAGAGAGATCATTTTGCACTGGCTACGATAGCATTTTTAAATTTTAACTCGTGAAACAACATAGAAAATGGCTCGGGTACACAGTCGTGCGTAATGTTGTGCGTGAACGTGAATCGTGATGAAGTGGACACGCGGTGCAATTGATCGTCGTTGATCGCAACGTTGCGCGCGGCATTTACATAATAGACTCTTTACAATAGGCATAATATTTTCCCTTTTCAGACCACGTGTCATTCCCTTGAGAATAAGATTCTTTGCTTGAGTGGTATCCATATTAATGTGTCTTCTCATGTGCGACCGTTAAACAAAGAAATGATACTCTAGGAAATGACACATGGTCTGAAATAGGAAAACATTGYCCGTGTGCTGGCAACCAGCACCTCAGTATTTCAAGTGTTCATTTTCATTTTAAACCAATGCGTCAGGTTTTTAACAATGACCTTACCATTCACGATTCCTTGMGCGGCCGCAAGCAACACAAAACTCGTGATCCACATGTTCTGAAACGTATCAAGAAATAACAGCAATGATCATGACATTAAAGAACGGCCATGAGAAGTGGGTGTATTGACCTGTACCTTCCCATCTCTCCTTGCGCTCCTGTGGGATGATGCCCAAGCAGGCCTTGCACGAGGAGGGGAAAATTGTATTTTCAGGACAGATAATGATTAGTCCACACAAAGCAAATATTCAAGTGCATTCTTATCAGTCTGGGCTTTCGATTGGTTAAATAAGAGTCTGTATTGTTCACGATTCAAGGCACCAGAAATATTTTTTTATATTCTACGAAATGATTGCGCTTAAGAACGATCTTGGAGCATGCATAGTTAGTTAATGAGTGCGGGGGCTATTCTGTTGATCCGGGGTAAAGCCTCTCCCTACAACCCCTGAAAATTTGGGGGCAAAAGAATGCAGGTTTTTGATCGGTTAGAATTACGTGGTCGTAAAATGATCGTAAGACTGTGCGAAGTACGCCACACGTAAACACGCTGAATGACAACCTTTGTCATACAAATATTAACTGTARATAAGCCTGAAGCGAGATGACGTTTTACCCCCGTCTCTAGACAATAATCCTTTTCACATTGCTTTTGATCTTTAATTATGACTATTATGGTATAGRGTCGGGGGTAAAACGTCATCTCGCTTCAGGCTTATTCAGCGAGCGTATAACTTACTAGTCCAACGTAATAATATTCACTGCTTAATATATTACCAAAATTGTCTCGGTACTGAAACTCATAAACATTGTTCAGAAATAAGACATGGTTTTCATTGTTATCTCATGTGGATCAATGAATAAAAAGTAACAAAATAAGATAAATAACGAACGGGAATCAAAAACCCACAATGATAGTTAAAAAGCAGAAATGTAAAATGAAAAGAAAAATAGGTTAAAAACCCTGGGAAAACAAAAAAATTTGGAAGTTTAAGTTAGTATTTGTATGACTTCGTAAATGGTATAGCATTTAACCCACTTAAACCTTGATTTTTACGCGCTGTGACAAACTAGTAATAAAAACAATAATAACAAAAGAAAGAGGAAACTTTACGTTCATAAATTACTGTAAAGAATTATATATAAATCTTACCTTTGATGTGTTGAATCGACGAAAAGTTGAACTCTTTATTTTTGTTTTTTAATGGAGGCACCGGTTGGATATTTTGATTTTAGATAAATAAAAAAAAAGTTCTCCAGTCATAGGCTTATGAATTACCCTAAAAATATGTAAACATTAAAAAATGTTTTAAAATCTACGTTATTTTGGGAAGAAGAGACCATGGATTGGATAAGACAAGGAAACGTGAAATATTTAGAAAAATAAAATTTACACTCTAGTTTGTATTTTAAAATTTGCTCAACGAAGTGGTTCATATAATTCGAAGATGCAAAAGATATCGTAAGAAACATTTGCTRAATAAATTTTGGATAATTATCAAATATTTCTAATTAAAAATACAGTAATTAATTTTTTAACCTACCCCTCTCCCCCTTAGTAAGTATTTGGCTGATCGCCTGCAATAATCGTAGGTCAGTGGTATTCAAAATAAATCTAGTTTCTACATTTGCGTGAAAATATTCACATTTGTAGAATAAATTGCAGTTTTTATCCACTTTAACGCCTTGTCAGGCTCTAAAAAGACAAGATTACGCAGTTTAGAGGTTGGTCTTTTGTCTGTAAGGATTTGGGCTTCCGTCACGTATTGATATCGTGACTTTTGTTTTGTCAAAAGTTTTGGTTTCGTCAAATCGACGCGAACAAAGTTGATAAACAAACTTTTTCACCGCAAAAAGGTTCTCAAACAGGTGTAATTTTTATTATTTTAAGTGGTTAGTCACGGGGACTTTGCGGTTTAGAAGAAGAAGTGCATCGTCCTTGATGAAAAAGTTAATTTATTTTGAAAATCGAGCCGAAGATGAGCACGCAAACTGCAAATGAAAATGGAGAAATGTCAAAGAAGAACGAGAAGGAAAATATTGAACCCAACGATGAGAATGACGAGTTGGAAGCTGCTGAAAAAAATGCCTGTGATCGATTCTACAATGACTTAGATCCTTTAAAAGAAGACCTTGCAGAATGGCTGTCAAGAGTACTTGARGTGGACATCAAACCAGACAAGCTACTGAGTTATTTGGACGATGGAATTTTACCCTGCAAACTTGCACAAATCGTGCAAAAAGCTGCTGAAGTTTTGGTGAAAACCGGAAAAAAATTTAAAGGCCCAAATCTTCCTGTATTTTCAATGAAGTACCACAAGAATGCCAAACCACAGACGTTCTTTGCCAGGGATAACACTGCACATTTTTTAAAGTGGTGTAAAGAGATAGGTGTACAAGATTCTGTCATGTTTGAATCGGATGGTCTTGTACTTCACAAACAACCGCGAGAGGTGGTTTTATGTCTTTTGGATGTGGCGAGAATCGCYGCTGGAGTTGGCATTGAACCTCCAAATTTGATCAAACTAGAAAAAGAGATCGATCAAGAAATAGCTGAAGACGAGAAAAAAATCGTAAAACCCAAAGAGAAAAAATCTCCCAAAGCTTTGAGTGTGGAATCCGAGGTAAGCATGCACAACCCTCAAGTGAGCAGTTAGTTTACGATTTTTAATATTTTTTTGCAATAAAAATTTAAAATATCAAGCTTATAATACATCAAAAAAGATCTCACGGTCTGGGTAAAATATTTGGAAAAAAAATAGAAAAAAGTGAAATACTTAAAAACATTTTTCGTATTCACTATGAATTTCATTTTTTTGTTTTTGTTGTTAAAAGAGAAATATTGGATATGCGATCATTATCCGTTATATATATCGAGAAGTCATAACAATGCCTTATACATAATTTAGTAGTAACTACATCTTAATCTAGAAAATACTATCATTAATAGATCTGAGTAGACGTTGAGTAGTTAATGCATTAATTTCCAAGAGGTGTGATTTTTTTCTCATACAATTTATTTTTGTGCTGGGTTGATATACTTTATTTACATCATTTTATACGAAACTATGGTATCAAATGCTATTCCAATATGTACACCTAGAACTATCATTTTAGTGCTTTTTTAGGCTGGAAATTAAAGCATTTTTCATCAACTATACCCCATAGTTATCCTACCATTTATTTTTTAAATCTTGAACTAGCATTTTTTTAAATTAAATTGTTTCTTTAGAAATGTTGCTGTTTCATTTTATCGTTTCACCTTCTTTTTGCAACATCTTGATGTACTATATTATAAATTGTAGTTCAAAGAAAAATAAGATAAGACTACAAGAAGCTTGAGGTATATGAAATATGTAGAAGTTCTTTTAGTGTTTTTTATTTTATTTTATCTGTTCAATTTATTCTATAATTTTCTATTAGGCTTGATATCTCAGCATAATTAATTAATCTAGCTTTCATCTGCAAGTAACATCATTCTTGGATATGCTAAAATCCTATTTTGAGTAGGATATATGGTTCATTTATAAATATTACTTATGAATTTATACATCAAAATCGAAAGGTTCAAGAGTCGAGGTTGGAGTTACTGCACATAGCAAAATTGTAGTTTATCATGCACTGCCACTCCAACCTGAGCAGAACTATAACTGTGTGTTGATTTCATTCAAAGGTTGCAAGATTAGCAGCAAAGTACAACGTTAGCATACAGAGGATCAAAGAAGGACGTTATGTGGTTGAAGGAAAAATTAACATATTTGTTAGGGTAAGCAGGGATCGATTGGAGTTGCAACTTTGTTGTCTCTTGTTGTCTTACCCCTCTTATATAAAACCAGTCCAGACATCAATTTTGTTGAATGTTAAACCAACCTCTGGGCTGATCTAAGTCAGGGCATGGCTAACTCACAGATTGAAATTTGAAAGAACCTCTGGGCTGATCTAAGTCAGGGCATGGCTAACTCACAGATTGAACCCTGGAACAACCTCTGGGCTGATCTAAGTCAGGGCATGGCTAACTCACTGAAATGTGGACCTCTCTTATATGCTCACTGGAACTATATGTTTTTCCCCACGTAGCCTTAAATTCAAGCTCTTTRGGATCGGGTTACCATCAAATTTTATCGAATCCTGAAACAATTAACCTCTGGGCTGGTCCGAGTCAGGGCAAGGCTCACTCACAGATCAAACCTTGAAACAACCTCTCAGCTGATCTAATTTAGGGCACAGCTAAATCACAGTTAGAACCCTGAAACAACCTCTGGGCTGATCAAAGTCAGGGCACGGCTAACTCACAGCTCAAATCCTGAAACAACCTCTGGGCTGGTCAAAGTCAGGGAATGGCTCACTCACAAATAGAATTGGAATTTATGATGTTGGGTTTCATGTAGGATAGAAAACTGAAGATTCTGGAGGAAAAAGCCATTGAATCAAAGAAGAGACCTTGGGAGATTATGTATTTTTTCTACCAATGCTAAATTGAATTGTTTATCTGTTACCTAAGAAGGGACACAGTTTTGGGAGAGAAGAGAACATCTCAAATCTATGTCCCCTGTTTAACTATACCCTGTCTGGTGATATAATTAACATACCATACTATCTCTCTAGATCCTGCGTAACCATGTTATGGTCCGTGTCGGCGGTGGATGGGACACCCTTGAGCACTTCATCAGCAGACATGATCCTAACAAAATTGGCAAGATTCTTACATGTAAGCAAATCAACTACATTAAAACTAAAATTATTATTATTATTACTATTATTATTATTGTTGTTAAAATTATTTAAACTAGAATTATGTACACTTCTTATATACACCATAAACTCTTTCATCATTATTGATATAGGGAGTAGGGTCTCTTTTACAGCACATTTCATGTTGAGTGGAGTCGAGCCATCAGGGAATATTCATGGCTCACAATTGGAAATGCACTCAACCCATCATAAATTTGATTGACGGAAGCAAAAACACCAACTTCTGGAGCTAGTTGGTAGCAGAAACATGAAAAAAGCCTTAATTAACCCTCTTGAGTTGTTCTTAACATGTACTTTTTTACTTCTATTCTTTTCACTGCTACACGCTGATCGAGACAACAGAGTTGCAACAGGAAAATAGGGTATACTGCTGCCAATCAGGGAATATAAAAGTACCAACCAATTTGATTGATGAAAGTGTATTGCCCAATTTCCCTGTCATGACTGTTGTCTCAATCAGCACGTAGCAATGAAAAGAGTGGTAATACACTGCCTTTTTTGATTTTTTTTTTTTTGAAATTTGTTGAAAAATAGAAACCTTTCAATTCATAACTCATTATCAATCATTGATCTTGAGATGTTGTATTTTGATTGACAGCTACAGCAGGGACATGCCCATCTCATCACCATGGCGATCTTCAATCAAAAGGTGCCGCACATTCATCAACATAGTTCTTCAAATTAAATGTGTAGAAGGCATAAATTATACAAAATAAGTAGAAAACAGTACAACATATTTTTTGTACATTGAACTTTTTATTGACACAGTAATTCACATGCACGTTAGTAATTCAAATGTTCACAAAATTTGCTCCTCGTGACTAAAAATATTTGCATTCAAGCATCTTTTTGTTCCCATTGGAACATTATTTAAAGGACAAAAATATAAACTCTAGTGTTTTGGAGGTTGAAAAAAAATGTTCTTAATATTATTTTTCATTTTCCAACTTGAGCTTCATTGGGAACTATTATAAAAAGAAGGTATTCAAGGTATTCAGAAAATTGAATTTAATACCAATGACACTTTCCTTTGCTCAAATCTTACATATTAGTTCTTCAGGAAAATTGATAAATTATTCAAATCAATTTGCAGAAAATTAGATTTATGGTGTGAATCAAATTATGATCATTTACCACTGTTTGAATAGTTGTGCACTAATTGAGTCAAAACTTGGGATAGGTAAATGTGCAGTAGACTACTGTCAATCAAATTGGGAGTACAGACATGGGAACCATGGAAAGGTATATGAATCTGGAAAAATGTGTTTGCTTGACAGAAGTCTATAGACCCATTGTATGTGAGGTCAAAGCAGCTCAATTTGGAGGACAAAACAAAAGTATTTCAATCTCATTATGAGAATTGGAAACTTATTGTCATATCCTCCATTGCTCATTTACCTGACGCATCTTGGTAATACATACCATATTTACACATATTAACAGAATGAATCCTTAGTATCCATAACTTAAAAAGTGATTCTAAAGTGTTACACATTGAATTGTGATATTTAATACTTACTAGTTATTGACAAAGAATAACTATTTTTGCATCATATATAGCAGTGTGTTCAACTTTATAAACAACAATTCATTGATATTTATTTAATAAATTTGAGTGAATAGCCTCAGACCTCTGTTTTCAGTTCTGTCTTTTATGCAACCATTTTTTAGAGTGAATTAGGGCTTAGGCGGGAACAACGCTTAGCTAAAAAGGTATCCAAGGATGGCGTAGCAGTGCACTCGGCTCTCATCTCTGGGGATGCGGGTTCAATTCCTGGGCTTGGCATTACATGTGAGAAGAGTTTGTTAGATATCTAGCTTGATTTAGCCAAGGGTGATGGCTTTTTCTTTTCTCTGGTTTTCCTTCCTCCACAATACCATGCATGCTAAAAAAATTCAAATTCAAATTCCATTTGTGAGTTAATTAGCCATGTTCCTGACTACGATTAGCTCGGAGGTTGTTTTTCATAGGAATCAATAAACTATGAAGGTGAATTTGAAATGAAAATAGATCTAAACCTGGCTGAATAAGTGTCTACTGCCATACATGTATCCTACGACCATGACATTCTAAGACATATACATGCCCCTTCGCATTCACGGCAACATCATTAGGATTGATCATCTCACCGATACCACTACCTTTAGTACCAAACGACCTAACATAACTCCCCTCTTGAGTAAACAACTCAATACAATTATTGACACAATTGCAGACAACGATCATATCTGAGCCAAAAACTGATAGGCCGCATACATAAATTGATTCGTTCTCATCGCCAAATTTATACAAGAATTCTCCATTTTTGCTGAAAACAGAGACCTTACTTCTCAAGTAGAATGTAATGAAATATTTTCCATTGCCATAAGCTATAAATACAGGGATTTCATGTTTACTGCTACTTGTAAACTTGTGAATTAATTGTCCATCTTGGCTGAGTATTTGTATCTGTGGTGTTCGTGGATCAGTTCCATCACAACAGACGGCAATGTGATCATCATCAGTAAGGCACATGCCACGTGGTAAAAGCCCCTTTGATTCATACAGCAATCTTTGGTACTTGCCGTTCACATCAAACTCTTGTATTCTTCCCATATCATCAGGTTGGTCGCTGACAAAGATCTTTCCTTGGCAAAAAGTAATCCCACATGGATTAGACAGCAAGCCTTCACTCTTTCCTTTCTTTCCAAATTGCAGCAAAAAGTTGCCTTCAGCATCAAAGAGTACAACACAGTGGTTATCACAGTCAACAACTGCAATGTCTCCTGTGTTGTTTAGTGCCAGTGACCAAGGGATACTAAGCCCATCTTTTCTTTTTCCAGATCCTTCCTTTCCGAAGACTTTGATCGAATGGAACTCTCTATCAGCAGCAAAGGTGTCGATTGCCTGAGGGGAATTCTTGATTGGCTGACCACCAATGGTGGCACTAATTTGATACGGACCAGGTTTTCCAGCTTTGTACCTCACCACTAATTTCTGGCCCTCATCTTTGGCTTCATATTTAACTTTGTTACCCTCACAGTCTTTGATTGTGATGCTGATCATTTTACTGYGTGTTGTGTGACACACATCACAATTTGAATGAACGATTTCAAATTTGTTCACAAAGCCACATCGAATTTCCTCCAGCGATTCTGTATTGATAGAATAGTTTGATGGGTCTATCACACATTCCACGATCTTTCCGATTTCTTGTAAGGATTGCACGACTTCAGGGTTTGTCACGTACTCCACTGTCACGTTTCGTTTAATAGGCTGTTGGGATAAAACGAAAGGCTTTTCTAGGAACGTCTGGCACCTCTGAATCAGTGCTTCTTGACTTTCCAAAATCTCGTATGCAACTTGTCTACCGCGAATCTTTTGAGCATAATCTTGAAACTCAATAAAACACTTTAACTCAGCTTCTATCTCGTCCAGTTCGTTCYGATTGCCTGTCTTTTGCTCCATTTGTTTGTCGCCTAAAGCTTTTATCATCGCCGCTTCGTGACCTCTAATATCATTAATCAACACGTTCGCCCATTGGTGAATGTCATTCTTCGCATTTCCAATCTCTCTCAAAACTCGCTTGATGTTTTTCTTGGAGGATTCTATATCTTCCTTGTATTTAGCCATCAGCTGTGTTAGTAGCTCGAGTTTGCTTTCTAAAAGCTTATCAGCCCTTCCTGCCGCTTCCTCGATGCTTGACTTGACGTGATCAGTATGGCTCAAAATAGCACATTTTTGACAAATGGATACTTCACAATCTTCACAAAAAAACTTCAACTTTTCTGTCTCGTGATATTTCTCTTTGCATACTCCTTGGTTTTTAAGATATTTTTCAACATTTTCTCTCTTGAATTGATCCAGCATTTTAACCTCGTGTCGATCGCGTATTTCTTTCAACAAATTGTGTGCCTTGACGCAAGTCTCGCATATCACGCCATTACACTGGAAACAAAAGGCAACAACGACTGTTGCTTCCTCACAACTTACGCATTTGAGTCTTAGGTGTTCTTCGTCCGACTYGCTTTTCATGGCTTGAAAGATTTTTAGAAGAGCGCTCAGGTAAAAAGACGGACGTAGATTTTCTACCTTGTCTTGAGGGAGATGAATGTCTGCTCTGCARTGGGGACAAGTTGGAAGACCTTTTTCTTTACTTTCTTCCACACACCACGATCGAATACAGGCAGTACAATAGGTATGAAGACAAGGAAGAGTTCTGGGATCTCGAAATATCTCATCACAAATGGAACAAGTTAGTTCCTTTTCAAACTGYTCCAATAAATCTTTGGAAGAAGACGCAGCCATGATGGTTTTGTTTAGACTCACCCTCCTATTATAATTCTGAGAAAGTTTATTGTTTCCTATTAAAGCGGAAGTCGTATGATCATCCGTCAGCCACGTGCTTGACTTTTCCGCTTTCCGCTTTCGTATCTCTATAAASCTAGGACACTTTTACTCTGATAATCACAAAAATGAGTCCAAAGCTGCCTTTATCGGTATGACGGCCAATGGTGCGGTGCATTAGAATATCGCTTTCAGCCCAGTTATTTTACTTGTTGCATAAAAAACTTGAAAATTATAAAGGTATTTCCAATAGACTACTTGCATCTATTATGTTTTCAGAAAATGTATACTTTTATGGATGAATTTTGTAAAGCGTGTACGAAATTTTGRTTTTCACATCTCCAAGAATGAGTGCTGACATGATGATTGATAAGAGGGACTATTCATTTTTTACTGGGGGGAGAGGGGTGGGGGGAAGTGGGTTACTGGAGGGATTGCGAGGGTCATTAAAAATTAAGGGTCGCAAGGCGGGGCCAAACAACGAAAAAACCTAAGTCGCACAGCAAGCTCTTACTATAAATAGCATAATAACAAGGGAGGGACCAATCTTTTATGCAGAGAGGATGTCAGTTTCAGTATGGGAACACTTCCCCCCCCCCCCCCCCCCCCCAAAAAAAAATGAATGGTTCCTAAGCCAATCTCAGCTGTTCAGACAGTAGAGTAAGATGTTACCCCACAGGGGAGGACTAAGCAACTAAAATTGAAGTAAAGAGGAAGTGAATATTAGGTAAAAACTAGAATTACCTTACTTTTGCAGTTTTGATTTATTGTCCACAGTATTCAGATGCATTTGGTTTACTTAGCTTCTAATTTATGACAAAATAATGTGAAACTTAGAATTATTTTGAAAGATTAAAATGAGATAGAAGCTAATAAAATAATTTAAGATGATATTTACAAGTGACTTAATGCAGAATTATTTAATGTATCTACCTGGAATTTTACTATATATACATGATTCAGTTTGACTGTGCCAACACAAGATTGCCCTTGGTTTTTGGTAATAGGTTGTAGCATCATCCAACTGTCCACTGAAAAAGAAAACATCTTTTATTCAAAGAAAGAAATTGCTTTTTCAGGGATGGATCTACTAGCTTTCGCTGTTGTATCACAGGGTGGGACAATCATGACAGAGCTAGGCTTCAAACTAGGTGAAAGCCCAAAGATCAAATTAGAATTTAGTAGTTCATTTTTGAGGAGGAAGGAAAACCAGAGAACTCGGAGAAAAACCCTGGAAGCATTGCAGAGAACCAACAAACAACTTTACTCAGATGACATCAAGATCGGCAGGACTCGAATTCAGGCCGCATTGGTGAGAGGTGGCACATTAGCAGCGCACCCCACCAGTGCTTCCCTGAGATGTAAGGGTGGGCTGCAGGGGGTACACACCCCTTAACCTGCTTAGCAGAGCTTTGAAGAGGGGAGAGGAGAGAAGGCCTGGGGGAGGGGGGGGGGGGAAGGGGGGGGGGGGAAGGGGACTGGGGGGAGGAAGAGGGAATTATTCTTTGTTAGAGAAAATATCTAGGACTAGCAACTTTCAATAAACATGCTCTTTGTTTATTGTTATTATTATTCATTTCTTTTATTTTTCTCCCCGTTTATTTAGACTTACCTTTAATCCTCCCTCCCCCTGTCCTTGAGTCAAAGCTGTTTTTTCGGCATCTTCTCTTTTCTTTTGCTGTCGTTTGAGTCGTTCTGGATCCTTCACACCTCTGGCATCTGACTAGTATAAAACAAGAAATTTAAAGCATGGCTTTTTCTATTCTTTGAAATATACCCATTGCAACAACAGGTCATGTGACACATGATTCAAAATGAGCATCAAAAATGGAAAGAGCAACTAGATATTAGTAAGCAGGCAAAGTTTCAGCTTACAACATGTAACAAAGGAGAAATGGCACTAATACAATCATCGAATATTTTATAAAGATTTGTAGATAGGGAAAAATGTGCTGGTTGACAAGCTTTCGCGGACAGTAATAAATCTCAACATACTTCCTTCTGTCTTTGCTCTGCTGCCCTTATTTGCTGTTGTCTTCTTATTTCCTTTAAATAAAAAAGAATTAATTGAAAGTTCTTCTGACCTTCGAGAATAAAATAWTTTTTTCTCCCTCCATAGGGCTGAGCGGCAGGCTGGTTGGGGAGAAAAATAGCAGGTGTTTTTATCCCCGAACTACAGCCATAAYGAAGGGCAGCAAAAGATTTCTGCTAGCAGGGTAAAGTTTTTCATTACAGCCTCTAGAATTATGCTCCAGCTTTCGGAATATGAAATAAGCGTGTTAGGAATGGCATTCGAAATATCGAGTCTATATTTTAAAAAAGAGCAGCTTTTGAATCAAATATGGACTCGTCATTGTATTGCTATATATCTCACCGGGTCTGGAGTCGTATCGGGTTCTTGTGGACTTAAACAATCATAACAGTTCCCCATAGTTTACACACATCCCAAAGTTTCGTTTGAACGTCAGGAAAACTGGAAAAGAAAGGAGAAAAGACACCAAATAGAAACCTTCCTTCGAATTATTTTGCACCTCATAAGGTAGAAACGCCATGTGTKTTAACATTTTATATTTTGCAATACCATAATACAATCTTTAGYACCTACATGACGTTCTAGTGTGGATCTCGAACCAGGCCCTCTCGGTTATTTTCCCAATTTTTCATTTTCCAGATTTTTCCTTCAAGGAATCGAAAAACCATACTATAAACTTTAATATTTAATATGGATAAATAAAACTTACTCACAAGTAAAAAATAGATCACTTTAATAGTTATTTTCGCCCAAATGTCTTTTATAACTCTTCCCTCCCCTCCCCCTCAAAATGTMATTTGCTTTTCTGATACCCAGTTCTCCTCGAACAACGCATAGTTGCCTGGCAGAATTTGACTTCCACTAGGTTTTAGAACAAGAAGATAAATCYCTCTCCTTTTTCTTCGTCTTTCTACGCCTTTCCTTATCCATTRCCGTTCAAGAATTCTTGATACTGAAGGCTAAACATGTCGGAGCGTAAAGTGTTGAATGTAAGTCCTGAAAACTCATATTATATTAGTAATTTTATTTTAGTTCGAGTATGTGTTGTAAGACGTCTTGCAAACGTATAGTTTTGACATAGTTTTCCTAACAACGACGTTGTCAAAACGAAATCAACTTATTACTTCGTAAATATATAACGTTTTTTGTTTTGTTTTTTGTTCCAGAAAAAATACATTTGAATCTTTAGATTTGATTCTAACAAAGTATGTTTGTTTATCTATAGAAATACTACCCACCAGATTTTGATCCAACAAAAATCCCAAAACTTAAACTCCCAAAAGACAGACAGTATGTCGTTAGATTAATGGCACCATTTAACATGAGGTATGTAGAGTAGTAATATGGGAACTCAATCCTTTAGTTACATCCATTAATTCTTCTCTCTGTGTTTGATAGTGTCCCAAAAAAGCATCTGCATGATAGCATCATTACCACCAGAATGCTTTGTATTTTTTTCTATATATGTAACTCCCTTTACATCTGTCATCATCGTTATCGTCACCATCCTCAGGAACTCAGGGGTAAAGTTTTGTCACTCGTGTCTCAAAAGACCTGGTATTTTTTCTGGGAGCGATAAACAAGTGACAAAACATTACTCCTGGGTTCCCAAAGATGTATCATCACCAACACCAACAAAATCATCATCATCATCACCATGACAGTTATCTGAACATTAACACTGATCATCATTCTGGTCCATCATTGTCATTTAACTTTAACATTCATTTCTTTAAGATGCACAACTTGTCATTGTCATTGTCACTTAACTTTAACATTTATTTTTTTAAGATGTACAACTTGTGGAGAGTATATTTACAAAGGGAAAAAGTTCAATGCAAGAAAGGTAATCTTGGTTAATTTGTTTGATGCTCATAAATTGTWCTACCAGCAAGAGAAAAAGCTGCATAATATATTAGTCAACTTCCTAATGTTTTCTACCTCTTTTACCAAGGAAACTGTCCAAGGAGAAACATATCTTGGTTTACTGATATTCAGATTTTATATTAGATGTCCAAAGTGTATTTCAGAGATCACTTTCAAGGTGCGTATTGGTTTATTTATGTTA